ATTTCAGAGTTCTTATGTATAACCGATCACAAAAAGTCATATCAAAACAATTCTTTTTTTTATATATAGTTATTGGGTTTTATTTTCTCTTTGATGTCCTGCTTGTARTCTAAGAGAAATAACCCCAAATGTAAGATGGCGGGCTGATTACTCAATCTGTGCACTTCAGGTGACACAGAGCTTTTTTAATGGAAGCTTTCAAATCTAGTCAGGTGCCATTATTCCCCAATGATAAAGTAGATCTCCAGCGGCTATATTTAATTCTTTATATGGCCATTCTGTGAAAGTTATTGCTGACTTGGTGTTTTCCTATTTCCTAGGGACAGTTGTACCTTTGGGGTGCTTTGAAAGCATGTATCTCATCTGAAAGCTTGCATTTATGAAGTTCCTGCTTCTAGTTTTCTTGGAATTCAGGATGGAAATAAAGGAAAGCGCATTCAAGGAGAGGTGATATATARCCTAGATAGAACCAAGGCACAATCTGCGTTTAGACTGAATAATCTATTCTTACTCTATAACCAAAGCAAGCTGCAAGACTTCCCACTCTCATTCTGTGAAGTCACAATAACCAGTTTAAAAAGTTCTAACAATCTATATCTCTGTGTTTGAAATCTTATAGTTTCTTACATTAGTCTGGTTGACTGATTCTAGCTTTAAAACAGATTCTCTTTATTACCTCTAAATTTCTAGTTATAGTACTATGTAGAAAATATTTAATATATGTTAATGAGCATGGCAGGATTTTAGAAACGTGTTTCTAAAGAGCACAGAGCTGATCAAAGTTCCATTTGGAACAAGCAGCTCAATTCGGTATTAAAACAGAGCAACCAGATTGCTAGGCAAGCTCACCTCTCATACGACAAATTGGAAATGGTATTATCCATTAATTTCCGCCCTGTGCAGCTGAATAATGCCATTGACAGATGCTAATTTTCTTAAATTGTAGGCAGCAAATGATGCATGAATATAGCAGCAACACACTTTCTAGAGGCTCTTGGTAGTCATCAGAAAGTGAATTTATATAAASTTTGATGCAATCACTACCAACTATGGCAGTATGTTAGTGCCTTCTAATGACTGCCTTAAATCCATCTGTTGTCCTCTTTTTCCTATTAACACTAATGGGGGTCCAGGCAGGAATGAAATGTCCCATGTGATGTATTAACAGACCCTCCAATTTGTAACATTCATAAGATTGCTTAGGACAAAAATCTATGTACAAACAATAGTATCTAAAATTTTATCCACTATAGGTCTATAAACATTTCATTGTATATGTATATAAATGCTTCCTAATTTTTTTTTTTGCACTGTCTTAACAAGACTTTATTTCTTCCTCTCCTTTTAATTCCATGTATGTTGGGTAGTTCTTTTCACTTTTTATTTTTAAAGTTTCTTTGATTGCATTAATTTTTGAATATATTTTCTATCTTAGACTTTCCAACAGTCATGTTTTGTGCAAGTTTTACAGYTGAAGAACCTGAAGCTTGGAGAAGTTTGGGACATAGTAATGGAATTAGCTGTGTGGTRCAGAATTGGAAATCAGCAGTCTGACTCTAAAGTCATGTAAAACTAGAGCAATTAATTTTTACTGTTACAGGCAAGGGCCTTTCTGTCCTGTGKTTAAGGCTCGAACTGTTTTTGAATGTCAAAGTGTCATCTTTTGGGTTAGGCTCTGTTAAGCTAACAAAGGAATTAAAGGCATTCCTTATGTTAATTACCAAGATTGGATTTACACATGAGCTAGCAACAAGTAAGACATACATGATAATGTTAAATTCGACAGTAATTCCAGAGGAGGACAAGATAGCATGCAAATCTTGTTACGGGTTTACCAGTTTGGTTACAGTATGCTGACTTACCTTGCAACAACCTGTGAGATTTAACAAAATGGAAGTATTCAAAATGTGACTCAAAGTATACAGAGAGAAGGGGTCTGGGCCTGGGTCCCTTCATTGTGCTCAGGATGCTGTTTCTGGATTCTGTCCAGATTTATATCCTGCTGGGCTACGCCTGGTCTCAGTCACTCWGGATCCTAACACATGACTGTTCTGCACTGAGGATTATCCAGGAGCTGGTCTTGATGATGAGGAGGTTCTGTATGGTTCCTTCTTTCCCACTACCTGTCTCAGACCTCTCCGTTGACTTCTTGCTTTGCCAACTAGGACCCTTAGAGTGTCCCCATTATCACTTGGGCTTTAGGGACTGCCAGTGCTCCTGGGTAGTTTAACATATGAGAGTATAGAACACATTTTTTGATAAGAACTATTAAAAGTAATATTGTAAAATATCATATATACTAAAAAATAGGGAATAAATATAACTGCATATAGCTACTAGCCAGTTTCATCAAAGCTTAATATTGGTTAAATTTCTTTAGGTACTACTAAAAGAAAAAAAGAGAGACTAATTTGTATACTTTTTCCTTGAAATAAAATATTTGCCCTTTAAATTTTTCTCTGATTATACTAGATTCTCCAGATGTTTTTTCACCTACCATTAGTTTTCTTAAAAAGAAAGTATATGGGGCAGAATGAATGTAAGGCCAGCGAGGATTCTCTGTCATTTAAATGCTGACATCACGTAGCTTCTGTACCCTTTCAYGTCTCTCTCCAAAACACAAACAAAAGAAATATAAGATCAAAGACATAGGAAGAGACCCAGGAGGGACCTCCCTCCCCCAAATCTATGCATTCAGATTACTGAATAGGTTGATATATTTTTAACAAGTGGGGTCTTCCAGATAGAATTATTAAAGAAACCATTTGTTCAAGTCATAGTAATTCTACTTTCCTAAATTCAGTCTGGTTTTGCTGCCCTAAGTGTCCTGCTTTGAAGCCTAAAGAGGAAAATTTTCTCAAAACCCTCTTAGTCCAGCTTTTAGTTCACATTTCAAAATAAGGCTAGGGAAAAATTAAAATTCTGGATTTTATATTTTAAATTCCCTTCAACAAAGTATGTCTGAATGTCTTTGAGACCGTGATCAGAATCACAGAGGGTAATTAATTATATTTGAGTTTTCAATGACGGTGTTCATGTTCCAATTAATTGACAGTTGCTGTGTTTATTTGCTTGGAAAAGGTCATAATCTCTTATGTGTGGATGGTGGGAAGCAGGTGATAAAAATCAATGTGATACTATTTTTGTAAGAAAATGTAGGTTGTAGAAAGAAAGTCTGAAGGAAAATCATGGACATGTCCAGAGTCATTTTTATTGGTGTGATTCTAGGTGACTTTTTTTTGTATATTTATACATTTTCTACTTTTTTTTAAAGTATTTTATTTGCTTTTTTCTTCTTTCTTTTTATTTATTTCTTATATACATAACAATAGTGGAGTGCATTACATTCATAATTATCCATTCACAGCACAAATTTTTTGTAACTCTATATATAAAGTATGTTCACACCAAATTATGCCATTATACATGAGCTCTCTTATTTTTTGCATACAATTCTTAATATACCTTTATACCACCATTTATCATATCTCTTCTCTCTRTTTGTAACATTTTCTACTTTTGAATGAAAACAAACATAGCCTAATCAGAATAGATGCTTTCCATCTTGACTACTGTTACAGCTAAATAGCTAACATGTACCAGTGCTTTACTCACACAGTCCTTTAAACAATTCTATGTAGTTGATTCTATCATCTCCATTTTAGAGGTGAGAAAAAAAAAAAACAAAACAAGGCCAATAGAGGTTAACTTCCTTCCCCAATGTTGTTCAGCTATAGGGAAAAATCTCAAAAAGGTTTATCTAGAGCCTGTGATTTTACTGTGTAATAAGAGAATGAAAGATCAATTTTGGCAAAATAAGATGTCATTTTCCTTTTGTATTTAAAATATAAATTTCTGAAAGCACGTGGGTTAAATAAATCATTAGATCACTTACCTGGGCAATGGATAGGAGATGCTCCAAGTTCCTGTGTTTTGATATTGTTGATAGTTAATAGATTATAATAGTTATTGACCAGTGGGATGTGCTTGTTGGGTGCATACATAAGGGGAAAAAGAAGGAACAGATGCTACTGAAGTAAAGCTGGAGTCCTCACAAATCTGGCCCTCCAACGAGAGAGAGTTCATTTGTTTCATTGTCCCTATGTTTTCTGGGAAGAAAATGCTCACTCACCCTGTCATCATTCAATAAGTGGTGGCCAAGTCATGTGCTAGTATTGGAGCAAAGCAGATAAAAATCAGACAGGGACTGTTTATACTGAGCTTCATTACTATGTGAATGATTGTGGCCACCCTAACTTTTCTGAAGTCAAAAACCTCATTTCTTATATATATCAATGTTTGTCTAATTCCTGTACCAAGGAAGTAACAATGTGAATTAGTTCAGCTATTTGACTTTTAAAAGCATACACTGTGTATATTAGAGTTCAAGGTTGATGGAAATTGCTCAGTGAACCTAGACTGACATTGATGTCCTGATTTATGCAAATGGGTACCATTATGTATGCTGCAGACATGGTTGGATGGTCACCAGCGCTTCAGAGAGAGAAGCTGAGAAAAGGGGCATCAGCCCCACTTCACCTTGAAAGAATTCCACCCCTTCCTTTTGTCGGTCATGATCTGCACTGTGTAGACTCTTTTTCAGTTGATTCCTAGATCACTACTCTTTCTGCATTAGAGTTTTTCAAATAACATTTATAAACGCATGCATTTATTTCCATGATGCAGGGAACGCTTTTTGTATTAATGTATATTCTCAATACATTCCAATGGAATATGCAGATGGGAAAAACCACTTCATCCTACCCTGATAAAGCTACTTGTGCAGGAGATCAAGAGATTTGCTTGGGTCTCTGTGGAAAGTCAGGGTCAGAACACGCCCGTGATCTCTTGACTTCAAACAGTTTTTCTTTGTTAACAACATAATCTAAYCCATTATGGCAGAAGTAATAGAGAAGATGGCTAGGAAGACACCCAACTCTGTCATAGAACTATTGCGGTCTGCCTGTGACTTATCTTTATTTTTTTTTAAACCCCAACAGGACGATACCTCCTTCCAAATGCAGTGGCTGGCCAGGYGTGGCCAGCCTCAGCAGAGACATCCAACCTCGTGCGCATGCGCAGCCAGGCCCTGGGCCAGTCGGCGCCCTYGCTCACTGCCAGCCTGGTGAGTGTTCCCATTGGTGGGTCCAGGTGGTCCAACCCATCTCCTGCCTGGTGTACTTAGGCTTGTTGAGTTCAATTTGGTACAAACTTACACTCATGTAGCACTATGTACAGATGTGGCAATGTGAAATACCTTGCTTTCAGTGTGCTGRTTTTTACCGCCACCCCTCCACATGTGGAGTATTTCCACTTGCCACCGTTTACCACCTGTACTCCCAAAGAAATGGAAATGTTTGTAGGCTTTTTATTTCTTGAAAAATTTTTAATTTCAAACTTAGAGAAAAATTATAAGGATAAGATAAAAACACAGAGCTCCAGTTTATTCTAAATCTAGGTTCAATTAAATAACATCTTGATTTGCTCTGTTAAGTGTTTTCTCTGTGTATATAAATACATATCCGTATGTATGTGTGTATATATATTTTATATGCACATTCATATACTTTTGACATTTATTTTTGGTTATCTATATTACAGCTGTTTGTTATCTCAGTTATCAACTTGAGTAAATTTGTGACCAACACAATCCTATTATCTACTCTGTCATCTTTATTTCAATTTAATCAATGTACTCAATCATGTCCATTATAACATTTTTCCTCCTCTAGTGTAGGATCCAACTTGAGGTTATGTGTTGTATTTAATTGCCTACCTCTTTAGTGTTCTTTAATCTGGGATGTTTTCCATATACTTTATCTKGCCTTTCTTTTTTTAAGTTGTTGAAAGCATTTCTTTTTTCTTTTCTTTCTTTTCTTTTTTTTTAACCTCTTTTATTTATTTATTTTTATGTGGAGCTGAGGATTGAATCCAGTGCCTCACACATGCTAAGAAAGTGCTCTACCACTGAGCTACAATCCCAGCCCCTTTGTCTTTTCTGACACGGACACTTTTGTAGATTTTTTTTTTTTAATGGAACGTTCCTTATATTACATTTCTCTTTTGTTTCCCATGGCGAGATTCAGGTTTTAGCATTTCAGACCAGAATCAGGCATTGGTGATGTGTCCTCAGGGCATAATGTCCATCTGCCCCTCACTATGAAGTTAATTTTGATCATTCAGTCAAGGTGTTGCCCAATTTTTCCACTGTAGTTATGTCTTTTCTCCCTCATAATCTATAAGCAATCTGTGGGGAGATACTTTCAAGGCATGCAAACATGCTTCTCATAAAATATTTCCCCTACATTTACCATCTGTTAGTGATTCTTACTAGGATCATTCTTTTCTAGGATGATTTAAAATGGTATGGGCTAGGAGTGTAGCTCAGCGGTAAAGTACTTGCTTAACTTATATTCCAATCTCAGCATGGGGACGGGGGGAGGAGTTCGCTTTTCCCATACCAGGACTCTTCATATTTACCAGTTGGCACATGGAATGAATATTTGTTAGCAACATGAACTTGCACTTTCCTTTTCTTCTCCAAGTATAGACCTTCATTTTTAAACATATGCTTATTAGATTTTTTTGTTGTTGTGTTTAGTGGGCATCTTCTCCACCTGAAGCTTCTTCTCAGCTTAGAAAAATGTACAAGTAAGTTAGTTTTTACATTGGTGGTAGAGTTGTATGGCATGGAAATAGATTTTTAAACATCTTTTACTGATTTTTATTATTATAAAGAATATGTATTTTATAATAAAATATGTAATAATATGTATTATTATAAATGATATATATTTTATTTATTGATATTAAATTATACTGGATATTTGATAATCTTACAATAATATACTGAGGTTTGACTTAGGTGGTTTTTTTTTTTTTTGGTATCAGGGATTAAACTCACGGATGCTTAACCACTGAGCCATATGCCCAACCCGTTTTTATTTTTTAATTTTAAGACAGGATCTTGATAAATTGCTTAGGGCCTCACTATATTGCTGAGGCAGACTTTGAATTTGCAGTTCTCCTGCTTCTGCAGAAGAATTGGGAGCTGCTGGGATTATGGATGTGTGCCATCATACCCAGCTCTGAGATTTGATTTAGGTCCAGCCTCTAGTGCTGCTTCTTCTATTAAGTAATTGTATAAATGTAAGCAAGTCACTTAGTTTCTCAAATTTTTTAAAGAAATTTTTTTTTTAGTTGTAGATGGATACAATACCTTTACTTTATTTTTATGTTGTGCTGAGGATGGAACCCAGTGCCTCACACATGCTAGGCAAGCGCTCTGCCACTGAGCCACAGTCTCAGTCCCTAGTTTCTCAAATTTTATCACCTTGTCTGTAACTGCAAGATGAAAAGATGTATTAAACAGTCTATTAAGTCCCTTTCAACTCTGAAATTCTCCGATTCTACTCTCAGAATAATTAATATTCTGAATTATGGAATAATTATCTCCAGAGAAATATTTCTTTTAGGATATTTTGTGACTTCAAAATTAACAATTATCCTTAAGCCAAAAGTCATCTTTTTCCTGATGAGACTTTTTTCTTTCCCCATGGTACTGGGGACTGAAGCCAGGAGTTGGCAAGTACTGTACCATTGAGCTACATTCCCAACCCTTGGGCTTATTTTTAAAGATACAGTTAAAGTGATGTAGATAAGCATTTTCCACTATCCCCTCCCCCTGACCAAAGTGACTTTTTCCTCCTTAGGGAATTTTGTTAAAAGCTTAGTTGACTGTAAGAATTTAGTAGGAAAATACCTTATAATTCATGATTTATCTTTTTTGACAGATGTGTTTTTCAGCCACTACAACACTATGCTTAACACAAATAGTTATCTTTTAACACAAATAGTTATCTTTTAGGCTTATTGCCAAATAAATCATTCTGATTAAAACAGCACTGTCACCAAGTATTGTATCTTAGTACCTGATAGTAGTTGTCACATACCCAGATACAGAAGCTGATTTAATCATTGCTAAATGCATGTCAGGCAACCTAAGATATTTGGGAATAGGATACAAAAATATGAACGATTATTAGGAAGCATAAAAGAGCATTGCTTGCAATTTGTCAGATGACTTTGTTATCAAAGAATGTCTTAAATTATTAGCTGTTACAACTGCAAGTTTTATGTTTATAGTGTTTGCTTTTGTTGAACTGGAGAAAATGCTGAAATATAACATAGAACAACTTTTAAATAGTTAACTGGCATGTAACAAATCCAAATGCTAGGAATATTAATATGTCCGTTATTATCATGTTATGAATAAATCTGGGCACAGAAGTCAGAATATAATTGGCATTTACTGATAGATAGTGAAGATTGAACATTTAACCCTCCTCATATCTTTCCCTTCAGAGGATTCTTTAATTCCTAATTGTAGTCTATTGGAAAACTCTTTCCCTCTCAACCTACTATTGTATAAGGGCAGCAGCAGTCAGAGGAGAGCTCCCAGCTGAGCACCATCTTGATTTCCTTGTCTTCTGGTGTGATGTTTCAGTGCGTCACCATGATGTTTAAATATATGTCACTCAGGTACAAATTAATGGTCTTTTGAGTTGTTAGGACTACATGTCTAAAAGAACATCAAGTTTTATCTGCTTCACATTTCTACCATGTTTGAATTGAAGTATGTCTAAATTATGTCTGCAGATTACAACTAACAGATTTGCTAGAAAATGATGCTGAAGAGGTGGAAATTGATATATTTTAGAACTCTTTTGTTTTTCTTCTCCCTCTCTTCACCCTGTCTTACAAGGAAGCTGAAGTTTGTGGAGGTGCATTGCCCAGTAGAACATGCCCTACTGACTGATCCAGTCTCCTGGCCACTGTTCCTACCCAGTAGCCCCATCTTAGAGCTATAAGTCACCTTCTCCCTGATTCCCTGAGCATTTATTATGGTAAAGCTCTTTGTCCTTTGTGTGTATGACTGATATGTCCCTGCTAGACTACAAGCTCCTTGCGGGCAGAATTCTTACCTGATTGTTTTTCTATTCACCCCTGCTCTTAGTACAGTGTCTTGCACATAGGAGGTATTCAGTAAATTATATTGAAGAAATGGATAATCATTCCTGGAAAAGTGACAGATTCCTTTAGTTTCAAGGTGAGAGTGGTGGTGTGTCTTAATGGGGGGCTTGGTGAGACCATCTAAAACCTCTCTGGTTTACTCTTCATTGTGCATCTTACAATTACCATTAACCTTAAAGATCATGTGATAGGCCAAATCCCATTTAATTCCCCATCAGCTGCTCAAAAAAAAATTATATATATATATGGAAACCAAATTGTGAAGAGAGATTATCTTTGTCCATATTTAAGGAGGCTTCATTAATCTGCTTTTCGGCAATCATGATTATAGTCGTATTGTCTTAAATATTTTGTCAATTCATTGAATAAGTTGGAGCAATATGCATGTCCAAGTGTGGAAGAATTAGAAAAGTAAGGGATCAAAATGGTTTATGTCTGGGTGACAGCATAGTCTTGATATAACAGAATTCCATGCTCTACTGCAACAACATTTCAGAAAAGTGTAGACCCTCCACCTGATAGGTATTAATATGTTAGTAAGATATAAATGAAGGCTTTGTGGTTTGGTACATATGAATTTTAGTAAATGTATGACCTATAGTGATTTAAATGCCATAGGCAAACTTGAAGGTAATGCTAACTACCTTCTCAAGGAGGAGATTAATTCCTAGCCTGAAGTATCTAGTTTTCCTTGGCAATGCTAAATCTAGTTKTGTTTCCTCTTCCAGACACATTGGGCATTTCAGATAAATGGCATGTTGCCAATTCATCCTAAGTAGCCTGGTAGCTGGCAGAATACATGCTCAGCCAGTGTCCGCCTGCTGGGACACCAGCCGGGAGTGCTGATGAAGTGTCAGATGTATACTTCATATACATTAATCTGAAGAGAGGAAAACTCATTTTCCCATTTGCTTCCTCCATCTTTCTGTCCCTCCCCACACACATGGGTAGTTTATCAAAGAAGTCATAGTCSTCAGAAGCAGTGGGATTTGTACAGATGCTGCTTTCTGGAAAGAAAGATGGAAATTTTAGGAGGCAAAAGCAGGACCAGGGGTAACTTATTTCCTGGTAGGAAAATAAGGTTGTAAGCCCTGATGACTGGAGCTAAGAAATGGTATATGTGGCCATGATAAGAAATATCCACCACTTTTG